ACTGTTCAAAAATTCTACAAGACGACCTTTTGTTTTCCATAAAAAATCCATTTTGCCTTCGTTTTTCCCATAAGTAGATTTTTGTGTTTATTTATAAGAAAACTTACTAGACACCTATAAGGAGCGTCTTTCGATCTTACCCAATAAAACATTATGGTCTCCTTTGAGGAAAACTTTGACCACAACTGTTTGTTTTTTAAAAAGAAATAGTAACTGTAAAATTTTGCAAGAATTGAATTTAAATTTTACCTAGCTTTTTTTTCCTTCTAACGGCACGTTTGTGTCCTAAGTCTTTTGTTTTACAGCAGTGAAGCAAACTTTCCTTAGAAATCAACAAATAAAAAAAGAAAACAACAACTAACTCTTTTTTCTAAATCTTTTGTTTTATTGTTTTTATATCGAATTGTGAATTTCCTAAAGCCACACACTGCAACAATGTCGGATAATTTCTACATAACTCATACATGTGGTGTTCATAAGACGCAGACAACACACTTCCACATACATTCTAACCGTTTAACAGTTCTTCCTTCCACCTCTCGACGGCAGAAGTTATTTTCTTGCAAAATAACCTTTAGTTAATAATACAATTTATTTTATTGTTTCTATTTAAAGATAGAAATGTAAACGTGACTCATGTTTTTCCTTCAAGTTTTTTTTTTTGGCAAACGGAACACAGCCGTCACCACCAGCACCACCAATGCGCCGCACATCCAGATTGCAGTTAACTAACTCAAGTCACTCTGGACAGCGAGACAGACCGACAGCCAGTCAGTCAGTTGCATAAATTGTGAAAATATTGTATAATCTCTAAACAAATTTTCACATGTTCCACAGCCATGGGCAATTGTCTATTCTCGTTTTCTTGCAGTCGTTGTTGTTTTTGTTCGCAAAACGGTTTAGCATTCGCATTGAGGATTTGTGTTTTTTTCGGGCATTGGCAACTGCTGTGGCAGCCGCTTAACAAATGATAAACAAATCATTACATTTGCACGCCCGAACTCCGGAAAAAAGCTAAATCCCACAAAAAATGATTTGTGGAGTTCTAAAGAAATGGTTTGCATCAAGAACATTTCTTCTATGGATTTTTTGAATTTTGGCTTGGTGTTGGCCACGATGGTGTTGCCGATGTTGCAATTGTGGAGGTGTTTCCATGATTTCCACCCATAAAGACTTCCTGTGTAGTGTGGTAGGCTTTCTAGTTTGTATATAATTTACATATTAATTGAATAAGTGGCGATGAGATAGACCGCACCGAACCGTTTGTACCCTGGATTAATAAGATATCTCCTCTATATATGTAAGGTATTTCATCTACAGAAGATTTCTGGGAGATTTTTTTTTTTCGAAAGGCCTAACAGAGGTCTTTGGTCCATAGAGGATCTAACAGAGATATTCTATGAATAGTGGATCATATATAAGTCATTTTCTTTAAAAAATTCTTCGGATTTCTATAAATATATTTTGATTTATTTAAAATGTCTTCCTGTTCTTCTTCAAAAACACCTTTGGTCTTCTATAAGAAGATCATCTGGCCTTCCACAAGGACACTCTTTGCTCTTCTATGCGAAGATAGATTGGCGTTTGAAAAGAATACTCTCTGGTGTTCTATAATACTCTGATAATTTACAAGAATATATTCTACTTTTCTATAAGAAGACATCTGGTCTTCAATAAGAAGACCCTCTATTTTCTACAAGAAACCCCTACAAGAAGACTATTTGCACTTCTGTAAGAAAGTCGTCAGGTCTTTCATAAAAACACCATTGGTCTTTCATAAGAAGACTCAATACGGCGGCCATTTGGTCTTCTGCAAGAAGATCGTCCGATCTTCTATGCGAAGGCCCCCAGGCCTTCTACAAGAAGATACCCTGGCTTTCTACAAGGCTCAGGTCTTCGACAAGAAGATATTCAGGTCTTTTATAAAAACACCATTGGTCTTTAATAACAAGACACTCTTGCCTTTCTCATGGATACCATTTGGTCTTCTTCTACAAGAATATCCTCTGTTCTTCTATAAGACTGCCCCAGGCCTTCTACATGAAGATACTCTGGCCTTCTACAAGACGATAAGAGCTTGCGATCTTCTAAAAAACCTTCTACAAGAAGATCATTTGCTCTTCTATAAGAAAACGTTCTGCTTTTCTTTAATTTTGACTCACAGGTCTTCATTAATAAAACTCACAGGTCCTATTTAAGAAGGTCCTTTGGTTTTCTATAAAATTACCTTTAGGGCTTCTATAAGAAAACGTATGGTCTTCTATAGGAGGTCATACTTGAAGATGTCCCACTTCTGGACTGACGAAATTTTTAATATAGACCCTCAGGCTGTTCTTTTATAAGATGTCCTTTTGGTATTCTATAGAAAGACCTTCTTCCCTTTCTTAAGAAGACTCTCCGGTCTTCTATAAAAAAAGCCATATGGTCCCTTATAGCATATGGACTTCTATAGGAAATTCCTCTAATCTTCCAGTAAAAGATCCACAGGTCTTATTTAAGGAGACACTCTGGTCTTCTATAAGAAGACTCAATGATGTTCTACAATAAGACCAGCTCCTCTTCTAGAAGACATTCATCAAGTTATCTATTAGAAGAACTTCCGTAAGACAAGTAAAAAACTGATAGTCGGTGTTGCCAACAGATATATACCCTCAGCCTATGGTTTGTGGAGATCTACGGAATTAAACACAGGTTAAACACAGTAGTAACCCATGATTCTCAATGATGATTTGTAACTCTGAAACCATATTTCGTATTCTCTCTTTGATTCTCTTCGAGCATTCCTGCCATGACTTACCACTTCTCCCGTCATCTCTGCATTACCATAGGCTTTGAGAAAAATGTTGATTACTTGGCTCTGGTTGCTGGGAGTACCTCTTGCTCGTGTTTAGCTGTTTCTATACCCTCCATCATAGTATGGAGGGTATATTAATTTTGTTTTTCCGTTTGTAACTCATCGAAATAATCATTTCCGACCCTATAAAGTATATATATTCGTGTTCAGCGTAAAATTCTATGGCGATATAGCAATGTCCGTCTGTCTGTCTATGGTAATCACTCTAGCGTCTAAACGAATTGAGATACATTGCCAAAATTTTGCATAGAGTCGTGTTTTGTCTGCAGGCAGGTCAAGTTCGAAGATGGGCTTTATCTGTCCACGTTTAGACATAGCTCCCATAAAAGAGTACCCTCCAATTTTCGGTATGTTGGGGTTCTTGAGCGCGTTTTTCAACCGAATTCGCTGAAATTTGCTACATTGGGTTCTTATTGGGTACTTAATGTCTCCACAAAAAATTATAAATATAGGTCCACTTTTTCTGGTAGCTCCCATATAACGGTACCTCCTAATTTTCAGTATTTTGGGGTTTTTGACCGTATTTATCCGCCGAATTAGCTGAAATTTAGTATTTTGAGTTCTTAATAGATACCAAATCTCTCCACAAAAAATTATGTATATAGGTCCATTTATTCGGATAGTACCAGAAGAAGTGAACTGATATTCCCCATCTTTGAACTTGAACTAAGTTTGGAAGAAATAATAAGATGGGCAAAGTTTGGATGAAATCAAAATTTTCTGAAACATATTTGGTCCAAAGAGACATGGGGTCTAGAACCAATATTTCGATGAGGCACATTTTCGCCGTGTCAAAGTGTATACACCCTCATTAGCCATAAGACTAAGGTTATAATTATCCACTTAAAATTTCTGAAATTTGCATTATGGTTTACATAATCGTTTTGTAGAAATGTCGGTATAGGTCCACTTTTTGCTTCTTCCCTATATTTTCATTTCTAGTATCTGTCAGTTTATCTATGGTGGAGGGTATCCTAAGTTCGGCCCGGCCGAAATTAACGATTTTTTACTTATTTTTTTTCGTCGCCGTTGGTATCCTCTGTCACCTTTTTGGTATAGGTGTGAGTTCTGCCGTCTAGGCATTCCATAGTTGCCTGATGGGAGTAGTCAGACCTTTAGTTGTATCCAAAACGGTGCGAATTCCTTTTCGCTCCAATCGAATTCAATATGCCTTCTTATCACTTTTGGATGCTAAAACCAGCAGCGAAATTTTCATATTATCTTTGAAACATCTTCCTTTGGTTCTTTAAATCCCGTAGATTTTTCCTCTGAAGCACCGGCTTATCGGATATTGTCGACGGTTGTATTGCAATTTTCAACCTTCCCATTTTCCATATTTTTCTACCACACCTAGCGGTATCTTGTTTTTATTCTCCTCGTGCGTCTGAGGCACACATGCACAACATATTACGATAGCGGTGATGTCTAAAAACGTATTCTCTTTTTTCTCTTTTCTTTAGTCATTTTAGATGTTGATCTCTCAGTTTCGCTCTCATACACTTACTCTCAATTTAGTTCTGTTCAACACTAGTGTAACGTCAGATCATCTCAGATGGGATGCTTTCATGGCATATAGGGAAAGTTAATACGCCTAAATCAAACTGATTAACTTTATGTTCATATATTGTCGATAAGTACAGCGAAAAGTCATCCCAACCCGTCAGTGAATCCTGGGACGTGCGTGTGTCCTTAAGAAGAGTTGTCCGAATAAATGGGTTAGGTTTCTGATATATATTCCGAACTTCTATGTATCCTTTTATAGATAGAAGACCCCATTTATTAATCTATTAATCCCGGTATCATTGTTACATACCAACAAAGTCTTTTATTGTATACTAAACTTTATATATAAACCATGCGTATTCTAGAGTGGTAAAATCAATTTCTCCACCTCTCGACCCCGCAAAAATTTCTATAAACAAGTTGTTATATGTTCCCACTAAATAAGGTGCTATTTTTTTACAATACATTAAATGTTCAATTTTTAATAGAAATGGCTGGAGGGTGAATAAAAACTTTCACACAATCTCCTGCAAATCCTAAACAGCAATACATGAAAATTTACCACTTTCAGACCTATCAAATTCTATGCAATTTTATTATTAGTTTATTTTCTAATCCTTTTTCTTCGACTACTTTCAAATAGATTCCCCCATCAACAATAACATAGTAACAAATTTTACAACGCACTGTTTTAAGGAACTCATACATGTTGAAGTCGTCGCATTGACAGCATCAGACAATGATCGGCTGCAACCATCATCAACTCATCACATGGACTTGGCCAATGTTTATTGGCAAAACATTCCCCGCCGTCCCATTCGCAAACGCATTCCCGATTTCCATGATGTCGATGCTGATGATTCGGATGACCCATTAAAGTGGTGCCAGCCATTGTCTTACCATTCGAAAGGATTCATGTTTAAGATTCCGTTCAGCGATTTGTACAAATGTGGATTTACACGAGTTGTAAACAAATTGTCGGTAAGTATGTCACATGTGACAGACAAAAACACGCCAAAACATTGCTAAACAAAAACTACTTCGTAGATAATGTATGTTTGTGTGTGTGTTTTTTTTTTGTTTTTGTTATTTAATTTTGTATTCGTGGTGCATCTGCTTAGAAAGCTGCTGTACAAATTAGCATCACCATTTTCCCATTGTGTGTTATTACTATTCAATTGCAACAAATAGCTTCAATTAATTTGCATTTTCGAATATTAATATGAGAAATAAATTTTGTTGGGGAAATTGAACTGGGTTTCAAATATTAAAATATTGAATATTGACTTAAATAGTGAATTATAAATATTGAAGTTGAAAACGACATTTTCTTAGTAAGACTTTAAAAGCTAAGTGGTTCGAATTTGCAAAAACTTTTATCAAACGCGTTAACAATTGTGCCGTGTCAGGAAATCATAACTGTGTACGCTTCATATGATGGTCTTCATCCGGTGATTGTGGGACTATATTTATTGGGGTTCTTGATCGGACGAGCTGTATTCTAATAACAGTTTCTGGTTACTGCTCTTAGTGTTTGTATCGACGCATTGTTGTTCTGATATCTCCTGGCCAAAACCCCAATTTATCACCAATTTTTTTATGCACTTCGATAGTTAATCTATTGAAATTAAGAAAACCAAAAAATTAGACCCCACTATTGGAAGGTGTGATCGTGACAAGCCACGTCAATGTAAAGTTTCAATGTTGAACTTTGACCTTGAATTTGCAGTAATTTAAGTGTAATTATCCGTTGAAAAACTGCAGACTTTTGGAAAGGAAAAGTGTATCTAAACAACTGTGCGGGGTAAGAATCTGAGCAGATGCTACATTCTACGGGTGACCAGTTTCGATCTGTTTGGAATTCTGCTGAAAATATTTTTGGCTATGAACCTGACCGAAGATATTCTGTAGCGCGGGTGTAGATCTGTCGATCTCGTGCATGATGGAATGTATAAATAACAATGTGCAACACAAGAAATTATTATCGAGAAAAATAATAATATGGGGCGGTAAAAATAAAAAACACCTGATTCGGGAATTTTGAAAGTTTACGTCGGGAGCTAACCTAAAAAGGCGTGGCAATATTTCCCATTTCCAAGATATTTAAAAATATTTGCAAATGGGAATATTAGGAATATTATTGTCCAATACGTCAACCCTCAGTCGACTCTCTGAAGGGCTCTTTTCGTTTCCCTTTTTCAGGAATGGTTGAAAACTCATTTAAAACGGGGTTATAGCAGGTCCGAATATTCTACTAAAAATAATTTTTACTATAAGTCTCTGAATAGACCAAAACTCAAAAATCAGCCTTAATGCCAATAATCTTAAAAATGTGAAAACAAATTTTTGGGTTAAACCCGATCTTATTCCGTGTTTATACCAATTTTTCCACTAGATATCGTTTTAGAAGGATGATATTAAGGGAAATCAATTTATGTTTGTTTGTTTGATCAGTGTTACCTATAGACTCCTAAACTACTGAACGGATTTTCATGAAATTTTCACAGTCGATTTTTGAGTACATTTGTGGTAACATAGGGTACTTAATTTTTTGATGGGGCAGGGGAAACAGTAGCCCCCATACAAATTGCCACCTTTTTAGATCTGAATTGGCCATTATAGCAAAGAATTGGAATTGACAATTATAGCAAAGTGTTAGTAAATATACAAACCACAGATGTTTACTAAGTTCACAAACCACCTTTATGCCAATTCCCAATTTTTTTATGAAAATGATATAGGTGGAAATAACTGAATAAAATAAAGGAAAACTGATGACAGAATTCGTAAAATTCGAGTACGAAGCGATTTAAATAATGTGGACTGTATACACAAATTAGTACTGTACAGATTACTGATAACAGAATTCGTACAATTCGAGTACGAAGCGATTTAAATAATTTGGACCGTATACACAAATTAGTATTGTACACACATTTGCCCTATTTATACTCTTCACCACACTGTGGTTCAGGGTATTACGGCTTTGTGCATATGTTTGTAACAGGCAAAAGAAATCGAGACATACCCACGGTTCCTTTTGAGAATAAGCATAGAATAACTTTCTGAGTCGATTTATGCATGTCCGCCCGTCTGTTGATGTTAAATTGTAAACAAAGTACAAGTCCCATTTATAATCCGATTCGGATGAAGTTTGGCACATCTCATTTATTTGGCCAAGGACCCTATTGAAATTGGTGAAAATCGGTTCACATTTAGATATAGCTCCTATATATATTCGTCCGATTTAATGTAAATGGTGCACCAAAGTCCCTATACATCTTTCGATTTGCTCGAAATTTGGCATAGCGCACTGAATTAAGTCTAGAATAATGTGCTCCAAGTTTCGTGAAAATCTGTTAAGATTTGGATATAGCTCTCATATATAGTTTCGCCCGTTTTTAGGTAAATGGTGCACAAAAGTTGCACGAAATTTGGCAAAGCGTACTGAATTAAGCCTACAATTATGTGTGCTAAGTTTCGCGATAATCAGCTCAGATTTAGATATAGCTCCCATTTATATTTTCGTCCGATTTTGTGTTAATGTAGCACCAAAGCCCTATATATTTTTCGATTAAAACGATTTTTGACATAGCGTACTGAATTAAGTGTAGAATAATGTGTGATAAGTTTCGTGAAAATCGGTTCAGATTTACATATACGTCCTTTATATATTTTCGTCCGATTTTAAGTAAATGGTGCACTAAAGACCCATAGCTAGGCCGATAGACACAACCTACTGATGTTAATATTAATTAATATGTGGCAAGTTTTGTTGAAATCGGTTCAGGTTTAGATATAGCATAGCTTCCAATATAATTTCGACCTACTCATGTTGATTGTACACCAAATAATCAGTGGGTATCTGATTGAGATTAAATTTTAAACAGTACAGCATACAAAATAGCGTGTGTCAAGTTTGCTTTAAATCGATTTGCAGAATGACATGTGTAGGGATTGATGTTAGTCGGTTTACATATAGATAAAGATCTCATATTTAAGTTCGTTCAATTTCACGTCAATGTTCCTTCGAAAGGGCGACGTCTGTTAGGATACATATACAATATGAGCATGGTACGATCAAGGTAAAATGTACTCCTCATTGCATTTGAATCTATATGTATGTAGAAAATATATTGTTTGTGGACTCAAAAACACTGGACAGATTTTTATTAAATGTTCACAGTACGTCATGCGATCCCATGGAAGTAACATAGGTTAGACAAATTTTTAAAAGCCCGCGTGGATGCGGAGTAATAGCATCAAAAGTATTCATACATCTGATAGAATATATGTATGTACATATGTACATTTGCAATGTGTATATTTTAAGAATTTTAATTTGGTTGAGTAAAATGGGTGCAAATACGGATCATTCGATGAGGATATATTTTGGAACAATGAGGATATATTTTGAAATACATAAAATTCATATGTACGTATATTGAAAAACATAAGTAGAAAATTCAATGAAATCATTGAAAAATATCCAATTTGAAGTTCATTTAAATGGGATCTGTTCCGAAATTTAAGTCAATATTGATAATTTTTGCTATTAAGATTTCCTACCCAATGAGAATTCAAAATAAACCAGTGAGTTTGGGCTATATTTCGCGATATTTGCACCCTCTTGATTGACTAGAGGTCAACACATATTATTAATATTTAGTACAGTCCTTCTAATTAATTGTCCATATTCCCTTTACCGTGGGTTCTATTGTGATGTTCGGCTTATAATTGTGGCCTATACATCGACTCGACAAAAACACACAAAAATTATGTTTTCGGTCCACTTCGTCCCAAATTATTATCTGATCATCATCGAAAATTATAGGCGTTGTCCTTGACCATAACTGGAACCTCATTTCAAAACGATCAGCGCTATATTTCCGCCCTCCAGTGTGGTAACAGGTTACTAAATAATATCTCATTACGTAATCACCTGTAAACATTTAAGTGTAACTGCCACATCCGAGTACATACGACAATGTAATTGGTATCAATTTAAGGGAACCCCCCCATTCTCGCTTTTTTTATTTTTAAGATTTTTAATGAGCTGGTAAATGAATACCAATACTTGTTAAGGTTTGTAACTTTGCACATATATATTTGAAGATTTAAAAAGGAAGAAAAATAATTTACAAAAAATTTTTGTTGTTTTCTTGTTGTTGTTTTTTGTGATTAAAGAAAAGTCCTTATTTTTGATGGCGGGCATGATAACTCTTCACTGGAACATCGGAATCCGAAAATTCCAACGGTATTAGAAAGAGTACATGTCTGGCTCTCGTATGAATTAGGATTATTGACTTCGCTCTAAAATTAACAAAATGGTGGACCTTTCAAAAAATATTTTTGGAAAATCGCCGATTTTTGAGTTATCGTGCCCGCCATTCGCAAAAGAGAAACACGCGTTTAAAGTTTGAGAAGCTCTTTAGCCATCACTTGATGCTGACACAATAAATCGGCTATATCTTTAAGAGTTCTTGAGATTTTCACTTGAAATTTTGTAGGGACATTCTTGAATTAGTGTAGATTCAAATTAAATCAAAAAATTTTTTGACCCCGAGAATGGGGGGGGGGGGTCCCCTTAGAGGCCAACCACTTCTCTCGAGTCTATGTCCTTCAGGAGTAAATATATGAGTCGATCTATACTCATATATTTACTCCTGAAGGACGTAGACGTCCTTCTGTCCGTTACATTTTGTAAACCGGATCAGGCCACAGTGATGGACCAACCGTCACGAAATTTTGCTTGTAGGACGTGTTCTAGCCAAAGAGGACCCCCATTGTTTTTGATAATTATCTGTTAATAGTAAGGGGACGGAATGGAGCAAAAACTTGATGTTTGTGTGTTTTTCTGATCGCTATAATGACGACAATTATGACCCGAACATCATTAAATTTTACACATAGAGAGGGGTCTGGCCATAGAGGGTAAACTCAAACAAGACATATCTGTGTATAATGAGAAAATTCGCAACTGATGACAAACATGTTCACCTCATGTTCACATGTTCACCTATTCTGTCAATAGGGAACAAATATCGCGAAATACTGCCCATGCAAGGAATGTATATCCGCAGAAAGTTATTGTTCCGTGGTAGTTGTGCACAATATAAGTTTTTTTTTTACATTTTTGTCGTTCATAAGATAGACTAGAAGTCGATATGCTTTTATCGTCCAGTTCTAGATCTGGCTTTTGATTCAAATTGAATGAGGAATATTTTTGTAAAACATATCCTTTTTCTATCTCGAGACTTTGGGGTATATTTCGTCTCACAGACCATATACTAATTACCACAATACAAGATTTTTTTGACCTCTACAAAAATGTTGTTCAAAAGATAGACTAGAAGTCGATATGCTTTTATCGTCCAGTTCTAGTTCTTCATACTCTCGTCTCAAATAGTTACCTTAAATATATCCATATTTTGAACCGGATTTTCAGATAAAACTTAAATGAATATCAATCGAATGCTTTAGGCATTGCTAATCACATAAAATAGATTATCAACCAGTACTAGACAAATCGTTGGAAGCCGTAAAACAAGTCCATTATTTGGGTCCAGTATTTTTCCACCGAATCTAGTTGACTCTTAAGCAGAGAGTTTATTCCATGTGGTTGGCAATGTTTTAGTACATAAATGATTAAAAAATTTCTGAAAATTATATCACGCCATAAATCAAAAACTTAACGTATAGCGATTTTTTTGGAATTATTTATATACTCTCCAAGAGCTTTCATCTCCGTAAGAACTTTTTCACCCTTCAGATCATGAGCTCAAGTTTGTCAGATCATGAGCTCAAGTTTGTTATTGGACATTATATTTATGTTTTTGATAACTTCTTTTTATTTCTAGGGCCACATTTTATTTCATCAAAACCTCATCGCCGAAAGCAATAGCGAAGTTCTAAAACATCCTATTAAATGCTTGTACAAAAGCTCACAAATTCGAAAAGGACACACCATTGTTAAGAGAGATATTCTGCCCGAAGATTTTAAAGAAGATGAGTAAGTTTTTTTTATAAATCGAAACAGAGTTAAAAATTAATATTTAAAAATATTAACTTTTTAGTGACCTTGAAATTATAGACACTGTACAGCAAACTGCTCCCGTGCCTCAGCTTTCCATGGAGGTACGGCAAAATGGTCAATTAATTGATCGTATGGTTAATGTTATACCCGGCACCCCACTGATAATGGAAATCAAACTGAACAATGAATCATCTCAAGTGTATGGTATACATGTACAATACTTGGAGGTTTCCGATGGAAATTCAACGTCGGAGACTATTCTCTTCCGAGGGTAAGACTATCACTCTATTTTAAGTCATATTTCTGATATTGTAATTGAATTAAGTTAATTTCAATTTATTTTTTCGTAAAATTTTCTATTTTTTTTTTCACAGTTGCACAGTGGACCCATATCTGTTTGAAAATTTCATAATGACTCCGGAAAATTCTTTGCAAGCGAAATTTCGTGCCTTTAAATTTCCCAGCACTCCATATGTTCAATTTCGTGCCAATGTTCGAATCTGTTTGAGAAAATGTCTCATACCTCACTGTCTAAACGGTCAAGGACGTTCCCGGAGAGAATTGCATAATTCCGATGAACATCTCTATGAAATATCATTGGGTGTAATAATGAAAATTGATGACAAATTTAATGGAAATAAGGGTAATACGAAACCGTCTTTGCATCCCATATATTTGTACTCTTTCTATATATTCTACATTTTATTTTCTTTCAGATGAATTGCGAAAGGTTGAAACGCATGTGAAAGAATTGAAAATGAGAAATCAAAATTTAAAAAAGAAATAAAAAAACTTGAATAAAAATTGTTAGAAGAGTTATTTTAATTAAAAAGAATAAACAGGGAGTCGTTTTTATACCAGCTTAACGGAATCTTTCATGGAGGAGCGCACAGCTGATGGGAGTCTTTCATAGACGAGCTGAAGCGCACAGCTGATGGGAGTCTTTCATAGGCGAGCTGAAGCGCACAGCTGATGGGAGTCTTTCATAGGCGAGCTGAAGCGCACAGCTGATGGGAGTCTTTCATAGGCGAGCTGAAGCGCACAGCTGATGGGAGTCTTTCATATACGAGCTGAAGCGCACAGCTGATGGGAGTCTTTCATAGACGAGCTGAAGCGCACAGCTGATGGGAGTCTTTCATAGACGAGCTGAAGCGCACAGCTGATGGGAGTCTTTCATAGATGAGCTGAAGCGCACAGCTGATGGGAGTCTTTCATATACGTCCGAAGGACAAAGAGTCTTTAAGCACATGCCGAAAGAAAGTCTGTATAGATGAGCCGAAAGTCAGCATGAGCCGAAAGGAGCCATTAAAGACTAAATGAATAGATTCTTTTTAGATAAGCTCAGTATTTTTAGATGAGCTAAATAGCACACGATCCAAATGGTAAAAAGTCTTTATAGACAAGCCAAAAGGCATGAAGGGTAGGAAATATTCATAGAAGAACCGGAGGCCAGGGGTGTTTATAAAAAAGCTGAGTCTTTATAGAGGATGTGAGAATTTATGGGCGAATTATTTAAATGGGAATCTTTGTAGACGGGCTTAAGGGCCGATATTCTTCATAGACTAGTTGAAGGGCAGGGAGTCTCTATAGAAGAACAAATGAGCAGGTAGTGTTTATAAACAATCTTTATAGGCAACCTGTAGAACATGAACTCCTTATAGACGATGAAAGGTAGGGAGTTTTTATAGCGAGCTGAAGGGCTGGGAGTCTTGATAGACCCGCTGGAGGCAGGATATCTCTGTGGGCTGAAAGGCAAGCAGTGATTATAGAAGAGCTGAAGATCAGGGAGTATTTAGAGATCAGCTGAAGGGGGACTATATTGACGCTGTAAAGAACAGGGAGTTTACAAAGCCAAGCCGATGTATTTATAGGCAATCTGAATTCTATATAGACACTGTGAAGGCCGAAGGGAGTCTTTGTAGACGAAGGCCATGGACTCTATATATGGGAGGTCAATACAGGATCAATACGATTTTAAAAGTAGGACTAATTTATCCAATCAATATAAAATTAAATAGATTTTATTACTTTCAAATGAGTTCCAATAATTAGCAACTACAAAGTAAGTATGTCGATATTAATGTTCTATTAGAAAAAAAATATATAAAAAATTACTATACATGTATGTGTGTTTGTGTACATTTCACCTGTTTTCTTCTTCAGAATATTTTCACGAAATCTCAACATCGCACTGAAACCAGTAATCCATAAAACAAACAACGGTTTATGATAATAATATCTAACAAAAGCAAATCTTCAGAAAATCTCTAATGAATGAAAAAAAATCTCTTAAATGATAATTGCATAACATCTATCTGGCAAATCAAAAGAAAACGATCTTGAAATGTGAAATGTACACCGGGGATATAAAAACAAAACTTGCATTGTAACTAAATACATGGTAACACTCGTACAAACTTGATATCATGTATGAAGAATGGGGAAAAAGAAGAGATATGTAGAATTATCTCAAAACGTGCACACAAAGCAACAAGAGCTTAGACGATGTCAAACCACACAGTGCATATTTAAATGGGTTGACATTTTTTTATTTTCTAAAGGTAATTAAAAGTTTGTCATAAAGACAGGGGTGTGCGGCAGGAAGTCAAAATAGACGAACTGAAAGTCAGAAAAGCGGGAGAGTAGGTAGTATATACAGACGAGCTGAGCACTACTATGTAGACTATAGAAGTGCTAAGGGACTGGGAACCTATATAGAAGGGCTAAGGGTGGGTGGTCAATATAGAATAGCTGGAGGGCAGGAGGTCTTTGTAGAGGATCTCTACCTCTCAACTCAGTCGATATAAATGAGCTGAAGCACAGGGAGTCTAAGTAGACGAGCTGAAGGGCAGGGAGTCTAAAATGACGAGCTGAAGGACAGGGATTCTAAATAGACGAGCTGAGGGGGAAGAATGGCTAAAGGGCCGTGTGTCTGCATAGAGAAGCTGAATGGCAAGGAGTCTATATAGGCGAACTCCCAACCCCCCAAATTTCTCAACGTTTTCCAACCCTGCATTTGCTATGGTGTGTGGTGGAATCCATTTCTAACCAAATGAAATGACATTTACTTTGTGGTCATTAAAATACACAAACACACTCACGCATACAATTATAAAAATTATAATTGACACGCTTACATTACTCCAAGTCATGTGGTAGTTAGACAGACATTTTAACGCCACACGAATAACAACTAATCCAAGAAATTGTGGAGGAGTGGGAATTTTCCTTTTTTGCTTTTCGTTGTGAAAAAATAAAAAACACAAACATTAAAAACAAGAACATTACCTTTAATTTTATTATAGTTAAGTGTGTGTGTGTTTTTTTTTTTCTATTCCATTTTTTACGACTTCTTCTAACTAAATTATAAACTAAACAAACTGTGAAGACGCTGAAAATGTTGATGATCTGAGCGCAATGGCACTGCTGTTGATTATGACGATGATAGATGATGTTGATGGATGGGTGGATGGATAGATAGAACGAAGACTAGCTTATCAACGAGTGGCTATCTTGTGAAGTCATTGTTTATTGTGGGAAAGTTGTTGAACCCTTTTGCGGCAATGCGGAGTTGTTGAATAAAATTTTAAAGATAACAAAATTAAGTTGGCCATTCGAAATGGAATTTTTAATTATAAAGCGGGGGTATTTAACGAAAATATATATATATATATATATTAAATGGACTGTACTTAGTTTGGAGGTTTAGTTATGCACTCATGTTTGTTCCATAAGCAAATATTCTGGCCATCCACAACAAGACCATTAAGTTTTCTTTAAGGAGACCCAAAGACACTTCAATAGATGAACTTGAGGTAAGCGGACTTCAAGAATTTCAATTAGAAAAGCTCGAGGTCAGCAATGAAAGGACATCCAGATCAGAACTCATTTTTATACCCTGTTTTTTATAAAGGAAATTAAGGTAGGCCTCTTTAAGTATTTACAGATGAGGTGAGGGGCAGAAAGTCTTTATAGATGACTGAAAGACAGGGAGTCCTTTCAGACGAGTTGAATGTCAGGGAGTTTTTATAGACGAGCTGAAGTCCAATGAGTCTGTATAGTCCAGACGAAGTTCAGGAAGTCTTTATATGCGAGCTGAAGGCCAGGGAGTCTTTATAGGCGGGCTGAAGGGCGGGAGTCTTTATAGACGAGTCGGAGGTAAGGAGAACTTAAGGACAGGGTGTTTTTATATATGATCTGAAGGCCAGGAAGTATTAAAGGCGAGCAAGTAGCCTTTACAGTCGATCTGAAGGCCAGGGAATCTTTATAGGTGAGCTGAAGATCGGGAATCTTTATTGGTGAGCTGAAGGTCGGGTAGTCTTTTTAGGCGAGTGGAAGACCAGGCAGTCTTTGTAGACGAGCCGAATGAGTCTTTATAGACAAGCTAAAGGTCAGGGAATCTTTACAGGCGAACATAAGGGCAGGAAGTCTTTATAGACGGGGCAAAGGGCAGGGTTGAAGGCCAGGAATTCTTTATACAGGAACGAACTGTTCGTCTTTATATAGACGAACTGAAGGCCAGGGAGCCTTTATAGGCGAGCCGAAGGACTGGGAGCCTTTATAGACGAGCTGAACGCCAGGGAGCCTTTATAGACGAGCTGAAAGCCAGGAATTCTATATATAGACGATATGAAGGCCAAGGAGTCTTTGTAGAGGGGGCTGAAGGTCAGGGGTACTATATAGACGAGCTGAATACCAGGGAGATTTTCTAGACGAACTGAATGCCAGGAAGTATTTAAAGGCGAGCCGATGGGCAGGTTAAATACTAGTTAAAGGCCAGGGAGCCTTTATAGGCGAGCCGATGGGCAGGTTGTCTTTATAGACGAGTTGAAGGACAGGGAATCTCCATACACGAGCTGAAGCCCATTGGGTATTTGTTTACGAGATAATAAAAGGGAATCTTTATAGACGAGCTGAGGGCCAGGGAGCCTTTATAGGCGAGCCGGGCGATTTGAAGGACAGGGAGTCTTTATAGACAAGCTGAACGCCAGGAATTCTATGTAGCCGAGATGAAGGCCATAGGGGAGCTGAAGGTCAGGGTGTCTTTATAGACTAGCTGAAGGTCAGGGTGTCTTTATAGACTAGCTGAAGGTCAGGGAGTCTTTATAGAGGAACTGAAGGCCAGGGAGTCTTTACAAACTTGCTCAAGAACTGGGTTCTTTATAGTCAAAGAGCATTTATAGGTTAGCGTAATACCTTCTGGTCTTCTATAAGAAAAATTGTCGATCTCACTGCGGTTTTCAATAAGAAGACCTTCTGGTTTACTTTAAGAATATCTTCTGGTCTTCAACTAGAAGACTTTTCCGTATTCTATAGGAAGCCCTTCGGTTTTTCATAAGAAAACGTCTACTGAAATTACATTCGGAACTTCTATACACTTTTGAAATCTTCTAGAAAAATACCTTTTGCTCTTCTATAGGAAGAAATTCTGATATTCTTCTGGGCTTCTGGATTTCTGAAAAAGCTTTCTCGACTTCTATAAGACGTCGTATGAGAATACGCTCTTGTCTTTCATAAGAAGTTTTTCTGATCTCCCACAAGAACATCTTCTGATCTCCCAAACGAATGCTTTACATAATAATGCCTTCTGATTTTCAATGAGATGGCCATGTGTTCGGGAACAAGATTTTCTGTTCTCCGCCT